CGATTCTGAGCGAAGACAGAAGTCAGTCTATAATATTACTTAATAATTTAGTATATTCGATGTAATATTGTGATTAAACTAATTTATTTTACTAGTAAGTATTAGTACTAAGAAGTAAATTAAATTCATTAAAAAAAAAGTACATTTGAAAAGTCATTGTGGGCATAAAATATAATAATGTACTTTAAAAGTTTCAAGTACCCACGAAAATATTTTTAATTTACAACAAATTAACATAAATCATTATCCTTGGCAATTTAATCTTTAATTTAGTTCACATTTGAACATAAAAAATCTGTGATAAAAATTTTTTGATTTTTTAATAACCGAATAACCTACTTGCTTGGAACTATTTTTGAATTTTCAACATTAAACTACAAAAGTTGAATATTTCAAAAATTTTAAATTATAAAATTATTTGTACATTTTAGATGATGTGAATTTCGTTAAAATTTAAAATTTAAATGCTCATTACAAAAATCGTGCATATGTACCTGTTTTGAATATTTTTTAACTAATATTGTAAATACCTATCAGGAGCAATTCATTATATTTTCAAGCTTTTTTCCCAACAAATACAATTTTATTAACAAATATAGAGAAAAAAAACTAAATAAACTAAAAAAAGCTCAAAATTAAAATTGTTTGTAAACAGTTCAAAACGAGTAAAAAACGAGTTAAATTGTATTAAGCATATGAATTGAAAATATAAACAAATGGTGTGAATTTTAATTATCTGCAATTATTGGTTATTCCAGTATAAAAAATTAAGTAAAAATCACTATATGAGAAATGTAGTGAATATCCAATGCTGTCAACATTTCAATTTCAAATGCTTATAAAAATTTAATTCGACTTTCCGGCAGAATTTTTTTTTTTGATAAAAGTAGACAAACTTATAAGAAATCTTGTATTAAGTTTTAAAAACTTAGATATAAAACGAAACATTTTTATGAATTTCTAAATCAAAATATTTTGCACATTTTCGTATCTTTTATTTATTTTGTAAAAATTCAGTTGCTTATAAAAATTTGTTGTCAAAATTGTATAGTTTATAGAAAACGCCGTTATAAATATTCAGTAAAAATTGCATGTATATCTACGGTATTTTTTTTTTTTTTTGAGTGTTACATCGAAAACCAAAATCGATTTGGTCGAAAACCGGGTTTCTGTAAAATTCGCTTTTTTCCTTAATTTTTTGTTCTTTTTCCTGCCGCTTTTGAAAGTTTTTGAGAATCTTTTACTTTTGACCACTCGGAGTAACGATACTATACACATTTCTACCAGAAAAGATGCTTGTTGAAGAAAATCTAAGCATTTTCACTCTCCCAAAATAACGGTGATGACAGAAACAAAAAAAAATAAAAAAATAAATTGTAAAATCAATACATACATCGCTCCGCTCGGAATCTAAAAGAAGTTAAAAAGTTAAAATTGACATAACTTTAATGTTTTAACTCGTATACAACCAGGTTTGAAGAACTACATATTTTAAAAATATTTGAACGCCTGTGTCTATTTATTTTATTACTATTTATTATATTATATAAATATACCTATACTATGTATAAAAGTATATTTTTCATAATCACCCGTACGGGGTGATTGCTTTTTAGGATAGTGAGTTTGCCACTCTGTGAACATTTTTGTTTTTTAGATACAACTATAATATAATGGAATATTAATATATAATAGAACAATGAAATATATGTAACGCTAAATTAATAGTGTCCTGTAAGTGCTAACTTTGGATTTAAAAAAAATTATAAGTTATAAGTTAAAATTGTGTCTTACGGAAAATCACTTATAACGGGTATTTCTAAATTAAACCGTATAATGAATGTCTATTTCAAGTACTTAAAAATAGGTTATAATTATAAAATTACCCTGCGATCAGGGAGCAGAAAAACGACGACGACGAGCGGCGTTTGTATATTATTTGATCTCTCGTATTTTATGCATTTGCTCTCAAAAATAAAATATGTGTCTACATATTGGTAGCATATTTTTCATGAAATTAAATTTCTGTTCGAAGTATAAAAAATAAATGTAAGCACCAAAAAAGTATGAAACCAAAATTAATTACTTTAAACATCGATGCTTTCGGGTTTCGGCGGAATTCCTGATATTGTGTGTTCACTGCGGAATAAATCAGATATAAGTCTGAAAATATTGAAATTTACTATGAAAAAAAAAACCGTACGGATCGCTTCATATTTCTTGTTCATGTCTGCAGCTTTGCTAACTGAAATTTTAGATCGATTGCGTCTTTGCAGCTACTCCGACAATCGCCACGGATTGCATTATAATTTATACTACGTCAATATGATAAAACCATAGATGTATTACAAGATATATTACATAGATATATTATTAAATATAGTATATCACACATTTTTTTTATCAAGTTATTTGTTGTTTGAGATTTGATCATTAAGATAATGAATTGAGGTATAACAATAAACCAAAATAGTTTATAATTTGAACATTTAAATTACAACAATATATAAAGTACCTATTATTTTAATTTAATAATTAATAAAGGTGGTGTTTAAATATTCGAAGCACAAGCATATTTTTTTATGAGTTATTAAATAAAAATCTTATTGTAAATAAATGTGATTACTACTTTTTAGATTTAACATAAAGGTATTCAGTGCCTAATGCATCACATTTACCGTATACCGACTATACCAACTATAGTTTGTAAAATTCTAAGTTAAATCTTTTCTCTGAATACTGTCGAGCACGAAATTAATAATTAATATTTTATGTATTAATTTTGAATGCATTGGTTAGGTCTTAGGTACTTATGTATATTTTAAGCTATTCGAGAATATTTAAAATTTAAAATGTCCTTATTTAATTTCCGATGGATATTCAATAATCTGCAGAGCGACTTTCCCTGCTTTATAAAATAATTTGGTGTTTGATGTACGACGTCGTCACATTAATTCGCCGTTTGACCACAAGCAGACAGCATAGTAATATTCATAATATATTACTTAACATTTATATGAACTAAAAATAAAAATTGTTGAATTTTGCGGGACATAAGAACTACCGTGTACTGTACTACTGTAGTAGGACTAGTATGTACAACACTATTTATATCTATATTTAATTGTAAAAATATGTCATTATTCTGCGACCTGGACATGCCGTCGTCGTTTGTGCTAGCGTATTTTTTTGTGTTGCGCGCTCGGGAACAAAAAATATGCCCCTACTACACATGGGTAGCAAATTGTCTGTGGCAATAAATTTTAATTTTGAGACTAAAAGTAAAATATGTAAGCCCCAAAAGAATAGGCAATCAAACTTACGTATACATCGACTCTTCGGGTAATATATAGCTGCAAGGCCATATCTCGAGTGCAGACGCCATATCGAGAAACTTCTTTCTTCATCTAAATCCTAATTGAACAAATCGAGATTTTTTTTTTATAAAAATTACTTAAGTAGTTAGTAGAATGAAATATGTGAGCAAATGTTTATTGTTACCTTACACATTTCTCTTTTGTTTAATGAAATTATTAGAATTGTGAATCGTCTCCGATGAGTGACGACGATCGGCTTTTGCCATAGATGATAGATATTATAATATAATATGTTGTTATCAGTTTTCGAGTTTTTGAATTCTTTGGATGACACGATACATTTTTTTATCAGATTCCGAAATAGAATATTATTCGGAGTGTTTAAATCTATACAATTCAGAACACGGAACTCTGCGTATAGGTATTTAGATTCACTACTGTCGCGAGTCTATTTTTTTGTGCGGCATCTAACAATATTGTTTTTGTCTTAATGGTTAATCTATAATTTTATAAAAAAAACTCTAGAAGTGTCGAGACATGAAAAAATTTCAAAATAATTAGGCTTTGGAATTTACTGAAGTAATAAAAAATGAATACTTTAATCGTGAATATAGTATTCTCTCTGGGCTCATCGGCATTAATATGTTATCATACAAAATAATTCTATAATAGTGTACTTTCACCGATGTATTTGCTAAAAAATTATGTGATTATACTACTCTATAGTGTAATAAATAATATATTATATATACAGCCGTGTAAGCATAACTAAGGCTCTCACATAAAGGTAAGTGACGGGAGAAAAATCCTTATGACCAAGGTTCGGGACTTATAGCATTTGCATACTTTTTTATTTATTGTAAAATGTAGCAGAGTGCGAAATAAATTCATTTCTCGATGCGGTAATACCAAATGTAAAATTTGAATGAGTATATTTGTGTATATTTCATATATTTTGCAGGAAATTACTAATTTTTACGTTACTGTGCTTAATTTGCATATTTTGGAAAATTTTTCGAAATTTCACCCGATCTAAAAAAGAAAATAGTAATGCAGCTTACTCACAGTCTTATGTACCTATTGGCTATTTACAACTCACAACTCCTTATAATTTTCGTGGTTTGAAAATATTTTGATGGCCTGATTGCAGGTGCGTTTCGCCAGCACGGCAATTTTTGAATCTAAAAATAAATCCTTGACAGTATTGTGTACTTTATTTTGTTCAATTTTGAACAACCGAAATAAATTTTATACACCCCTCAAACACGAGAAAAAACGATGTCCCTCCCCCTAAGTTGAAACCCAGCCGAGAAATACTTAACTAAAAAGGGGGGTTAGGAAACTTTTGTTATGTTTACCATATTGTGGTCGTCCCCGTCCATAAGTCGTTTGCGAAATCGCTCCAAGGCGATTTGAGGCTGCGCAGGGAGGATTACCAATTTTTAAATTTTATAATTATTTAATACTCAGTTTTTTAACTAGATAATACGTAAGTCAATATAATAAGTCACCGATGAACAATGTGTATACATTTGTAGTACAAATTCCTAAGTATGAATCTAAATATTTTGAAAATTTAATTATGTACACATAGGTACTTTGAGTAATATTTTAACGTTTAATGGCCTACAAATAATAATCTTTGGATCACATATTTGAATCATTTAAATGTACTCGTATATTTTCGTCATTAAAATTGAATTATAGACATATAAAGTTTATTATGATGTTTGATAGACCATTTGTATGAAATGTGTAAAATTAATTATAAATATTAAACTTCAATGTATTAAGTTATGGGTGTGCTCTGAAATTATAAAAATTTAAAAATACTTGATACTAAGAACTTGATTGAATGTATGGTAGTTGATTCACTGAAGATGATTGCTTACTCATTTGATCCGATAATAATGAATGAAATGTTTCATTTGGTTGTACTGTGCATTGTTTCAGTCAAGGTGTTTTATTCTCTGTATAGTTTACAGCCTTTTCATTACTGGTTACCTTAAATGCAGAAATAGATATGCTATACAGTACCCTGTAGGAACTAAAATTCTAAACACAATAATTTCAAACATGTTTAATGTTATAAGTATTACAGCCCATAGTTTTTTAAGCCTTTGAGTAACTTATTTTAATAATTAGGATAGATTGAAGTCATTAATTTATTACCTTCATCACTGCTACTGTCTGATACATCAAGTGTTGTATGCTTACATTCGGTCATCAATATTGAACCTCTTCATTTTCCGAATTTTTTTCAACTCGTGTGTGCCACCTTTTTTAAATTATTCAAGTTGTTGGTAAATACACGCTATCTCATAAAATAAAATATTACTTAAAAAATCTGGATGCTTATGTTTTTACAGACATTTTCGTGATATAAAATATCCAGAAACAATTTAGTCTTGAAATTTAAGTTAAGTGCAAATACTAAGTAAAATGTAATAAACCTTGAAACCTCTTAACCATAAGTGAAGTGTAAAATATTTCGTTTAGGGTGAATCTAAGACATTCCTTCAAAAATAAACGTTCCTGCGCAAACTTCGTTTGTTACTGCAGTAATTAAAAACACGACGTATTGAAATAATATGTTTCTTTGGATTGTGGACAAAATTATATGGTAGGTATCGTATTTTCGTAATAGAACGGTAACAATTATTTATAAAACAATTTTATATGAATATTATGCATTATGTATTTATGTTAAAACAATATGGAATAAAAAGTTAGTCATAATGAATTATGATGATGCAATTAAATACGAAATAATGAAGCACATCATGTAGATGTAATATAATAAACTAGCATCATACAAAATAATTACAGTATGATTTTATAACATATTTATCTTCAACAATACAATATTGAACAAATTTATTAAAATAAACTAAATTGTCTGTCCACCCCACCATTTGAAATTCTGTGAAATGTTGTAACTTTTGGGATAAAATATTATAGTATCTAGTAAACTATATTTTAAAGTTTTCATAAACATTATTATAGATTCGAATAATTCAAACATTCATATTTTTTATGAATCTCATTCTACATGTTAAAATGTTCTTTCATAATATTTCCCAGAAATAATAATATAACGCTCTATTGATAAAACTCAAATTTTTTCTACTTTGATTTTCACATTCAATGTAGTATTACAGACTACATTAATTCCGTATCTTTTTACCATTTATTTGAAATAAATACAATTTATATTTTCAATAAAGCCACAAAGGTTCAATCGTTACGTTCAATAATGTATTTAAAACCTAGTTGGCTATAATATCACATAATAGCTACGAATCTAGTATAATATGTATAAGGTTTCTAAAAGCGGATATTTTATGAAAGTACATTTACTGTTTCGTAATCCACTTCGTTTTTATTTGGTACGAGTATAATAATAATACGTGTCGTCAAAAGTAGCGAAATCTTTTTAAGTCGATATATTTATATTAATTTCCACCCGGATATTGCGACTAAAAAAATGAAAGTATCATCGATTTTTTTTTAAATTTAACACAGTAAAGTTAAAGTGTTACTGATAATTCTTATTTTAAAGTTAATAACTTATGCGTGGGTATATATAACGATTTTAATATTTTAATAATTTTAGTTTTATACAAACCATTAAAAACCTGTATTCTACATTTTTTTTTTATAAAATATTTGCAATTTAACCACTTTAACCTACGTAAGTACCAAACGCTGTCTTCATTTAAATTTTGTTAAATTTCAAGTTTTTTAAACTAAACTTATTTTAGTTGTTAAAATGAATAGATACTATAATGAGAGTCTGATGTTTTTAATTTGTAAGTTGATAACACTTCTTTAATTAATTAGTTAGTTCCAACAGTGGTTATATAATATTTATTTCACTAATTATCTTTAATCGAATTAGGGAAATAACCTGTAATAGACATACTCAGCAGTGGTTACAATCCATTATGTTTTCCTTTCAATAATATATTCGTTCATTATTAATCATTAACTTTAATATTTTAGTTTTATTAGTACGTTTTTATTTGGGCCGTTTATTTACATTCAAGTCTATATTAATTCAGAGTACCTTTGATGTCGCTTGGCTTGACTTTGTATAGATTTCGGTTTTGGGAAGATTGCAATATTCGCGTAGCCGTGTGGAGGTCATAATGCTTGTGAATATATCAAAAGCTTGAGTGTATTTGTTTTAAATCCGAAAACCATTGGCGTAGACAATTACACATTTTGATAAGGATGGAGTGGGGGGAGGGGGTGGGTTCTTAGACTAGTCGCGGTGCCTCGGCGGTTGGCGTCCGGCTGCTATATGATATTAATTATTATAATATACCAAAGAACACAAAACAAATTACTTGGTAGGTGGGATGCACCCAGCCACCGTGGATAAGACATCACTGCCGAAAACGATTAATCTTTACATTATAATAAATAATAATTTATGTGCGCATAACTTAAAGTCAAGTGCAGTATTAATATGGGTCGAAAAGAGATGCGCTGTTGTTGAACAAACTTCGTTCTTGTCGGTCATGCCGTTTGGGAAAAATTATTTCGCTTGTATTTTTTTTTTCAAGTAGTTTGTAAATGGTACAACATAATAAAAAAAAGTCGAATACACAACATGTTAAAGGTTTGACCGTAAATTCGGTTCTTTGTCGAATTTTCTTTTTTCTACAACCGATGGGAATTTCACAACTTTGACATCCACCCAAAGCATAATCATTATACCATCCCAGATCCCAGTTTCCGTAACTATTGTATAATAAAATATGTTACGTCAAACTTTTAGAGCACGTTAACATCGTTAACAAGTGAACAATTTATTTTGTAATTAAAGTGTATCATTACAGTTTAACAAATATATGTATCGAATCAAATTATTAAAGTAACGTAATTAAACGAAATACTACCTTCTAAATATGTACGTTTCCGATATATTTAATTGACAAAAATATGTTGTTATATTATGTAATAACAATCAATCCGCCTAGAAACTGATCTTCGTGTGAAAAAATTCAATTTATAAACGAATAATTGTCAGTTATTGGCTGAATTAATATTAGAAACATTTATTTAAATCGAAATAAACATTTTAGATTTTTATAGAAATAATTTTAAGCATATATTATATTATATAATATGTGTAAAAATTAACTTTTAATTAGATTATATTTTGTTTTAGCAATTTTTTAATTAGGTAACTAAAAACGAAATTACATAACATCATCAATCTATTTAGTGTTTTATATTTAAAAATAACCTTTTTATTCTACAAATTATGCATGAAATATGAAATTAATTAGTATTTAGTGTAATTAAACTGAACTTCTCTATCACTTTGATCTAATTAAATAGTTAGTTGATTTTTAAATTAAAATAATCACACAGAGTTTATCGTTGAAACTTTTTGTTACTAAATAATTATTACTTAGATTATAAATACCAAGATTTCTTTACTAGGTACCTACATCTTTATTTTTATGAATAAACATTTTCTGTAATATTTAAATGTAAATTCATATTTTCACTATAGAGTTTGTATGAGAATAAAACGGTTTTTCATTAAATAATTTTTTTCATGTGCCTACGTAAATATGAATTAATTAATTTCTTGTTAAAGGATTATTTGAGCCACCTATGTATTCAAACTTACAATACTAATATTGAATACTTTTATACCGATGACTCATTCAGTAAAGTTTGCGTTCCTTATTGTATATTAATTACCCGTTAAAACTATATAATATAATATAAACTATACTATAATTTGTAAATTAAAAGATACTCTGAACTAATTTTTTGAAACCCCAAGATAGTTTTAAAATTAAATCATTTTTGAATATTTTTAAGTACAAGATCAAAAGCACTTAAAACTTATCTTAACCATTACTATATTATTAATGAGAACAAATAAATTTAAAATATAAATAATATTGATCAGGAAATTCGGAGAAATCTAAATCCACGAAGAGATTATTTCTACACATATTGTTCGTTGCATGAAATCGCAGTGTTTTTTTTTTTTTATGTACGTTATTATGTAATATGTAGATAACATTTTTTTGTTCTTTGGTCAAAAAGATTAAGAATTAAGTCCAAGGCTAAGTTTGCTAACTTTTAACTATTTAAAAACTGTCTGCCCTTGAATAAATAACTAATATCGGAACATACTCTATAATGATCACTTATTCTGCACACATTTACGTACTAGGCCAATATGTATGCATTTTGAAAATTGCGTATTTTGAACTTCTTAAAATCTGACCTCCATCAATCCCCTTAACTAAAAAAACTAGTAAATGATAATAACTCAAGGTAAATATTAGATAGTAAGTGTATATATAAATACTATTAACCAAACAATCATCAACTTTTAATCAATTGTTTTATTTATATAAGAAAAGAAAATTAAATGACAGCAAAGAAAAAATTAATAATAATATTAAGTCAGCCCTTTTTTTAAATTTTAAAACATGTTTAAGTTCTTCATCCTTTTTTAATAGTTTAATTAATAGTTTATTGATACTTTTTGTAGAGTTCCACCCTCTCGAGAGCGGAAACATAAGTGGATAACATATTTTGATATTTTATTTCGTTACGTCAACCCTTTATAAAAATAAACAATGTTCAGATTTCCCATGATTTTGTCGACTATATTATTATCATAGCGTATTGGTTCGTATGCAATATTTGGCAGATTCTGACTTTCAATTACATTTTTATATTTTTTATGACATTCGTGCAATAGCAATCTTCCAACTCCGATACCATACACACTTGATTCATAAAAATCAAATAATTTTTTTGACGTTTATTATTGATGACGACGGCGGCGCTCAGCCGTTCACCCAGTTATATCATATCTAGATATCCAATACACGACCGACAGTTATTATTTTGATCGGCAACCATTGAATTATAATTACTATCATTTTTACCGAGAATAAATCAAAATGTACTTGTACAAATGTCCTTTGTGGAGTTTATAATTTGCAACGTATTCTCTGCTAAAATAACTATAATAAACAAGTAGTACAACAAGTATTTAAGTAGTCTTCTATATCGGATGATCAATTTAACATGAGACACTTATTATTTCAAAAACTATCGAATTTCGGACGAGTAGTAATTTAAGAGTTCCAAGTATTTAAAGTTTAGATGAGCGAAGTGAAGTAGGGTATCCCACAAAATGTCGGTCCACCACTCAGATTATCTAAACTTTAAATACCTTTAGCTAATGAGCCACTTTTCTGAAATTTAATACTTGTATATACATCGCCAGGTAAGTAAAAATTATAATTTAAAATTTCTTTCAAA